TGGGGTGGCTGGAATTCTTTTGATGTATCTTCCCAGTGTTACCCCGTTGGTTCCTGTTGCACCCAGAGCCCCTGGCTCGTCTCCTCTAGGCTTCGAGTGTGCTGTAGTGCATCCAGCATGTCTCTGAGCAGTAGGCCAAGGGCCCTTGCCAGCGCCCCATCCCTCCAACCTGGGCACATCATCCCACAACATGTCGCTGGCAAGCCTGCTGTCAAAGCATAATGTGCTAATTCTCTTTTCACTGGCATACTTTGGAATCAAAGACTGCTTTATAATTAGCTATAACCCTTTTTGTCCTCCTTCAAATTGCTGAACATTGGAGCCAGCTAGAACACATCATGAAGTTCAATAAGGAATATGGAATGCGTTGCTCTCATTCCATTTATTGTCCTCTTTCTTCCTCCCTTACACTAACATTTCGGAGAAAAAGCTGCCATCTTCTATGTTTCTCAACAGCTACCAACTTCAGGTAAAGCCTTATTTCTTTTTCTTCCCTGTTTCTCAAGTAGGGAATGGTAATGTGTTGTTAAATGAACAACATTGCTTATGAAGATGTGGAAATGTTCTTGTTACCTTGAATCACAACTTAAAAGAAAAAAATTAGATATATTTCTAGATGTGTATCTTCATTATGCAGAAATCAATTAATCTATCCTGATTTGAAGAGTTTTGGATACTACATATGAATGCCTGTATGGGTATAAAAACTGCAACAGTCTCAGTGGGCAAAGCTCTACAACCCCTGAATAAGTGTATGATAATCTAGTAGTAGACAGATGCTGTGATATGTAGCAATTTGTTAATTATTCTAAAGTCTATCTACTGTTATAACCCTCCACAGTATCTGCCTAGTTTTACAAGTATTTTTCCTGTGTACTAACCTACAGATATATCTACTCAACAGTTGTGTTTGTTTTAAAGGGATGCTTATGCAATGCTTTGTCAAAAACTGTGGAGATCTTGGTGATAGTAGTTGGTTTAAATACTGTAGGGAGAGATTGATAAATGGAAGAAAAATACAGTCCTAAGACTGTATTGCATGGAAAAAGAACACTTTTTTGGGAGGCCTCACTGGACAGATAGATTTTGAAGCTTGTGCCTTATTTCTCCTAGTTACCTGAAAGCAATTATCTGGGAACCTCCTTTCAAAACTAAAAACAATGGGATGGCAGGTCATTTGTTAATTCAGTAATCTGTTGGAAGAGTTAGACTTCAGGAATGTGTGTGTATAGATATTTAAGACATTCTTATGTATGTGTTTATGTACATAGATATAGATATGATTTTAAGGGGAAACAATTTCCGAGTATGATTTTTATTAAGAACAGAAAAACACTTTAAGCCTTAACCTGCTATTAGATTAATGTGATAACAACTCAATCATGTATTAAATGATCCCTTTTTAATTTTTAATAAGTTATTACATCTACCCATGGTGGTATAGATGGAATAAAGAAAAAGAGTGTACTGAAAGCTTCAATAAGCTTCAAAGTAAGGCTTTGTAAAGGGCAGTCTTACAAAAGGTAGAGATGGATAAATTTGCTAAATGGATTTTTATATTCTTGATCTTTGTGGTTTGATAGGATAATGCAATCTGCAAGAATATCTATTCATAATTCCTTTGTAGACTTGTAGAATGTTCCTTTCTCAGTACTAACCAGTAATCTCTAGCTGGTAATTTGCATCTCTAGCAAGTTATTTTCCTCTGCAGGACACTGTGTGGCATGGAGATTTATATTCTGAGGAAATATTCTGTTACCCTCAGCACAAGCTCATCTGAGGATTTTTGCATATCACTGAATTTTACAGAATGGCAAGAAGAGAGAAAGTGTGAATTATATTTCTAAAAGAATGATAATTTACATTTTCAAAATATAAATAATGAGAACAATAAATAATTCCAGTTTAAAAAAAATTAAAAATATAGAGCTAAGGTTTGCTTTGGTCAATAGAAGGCATAATGGAAGGCATAATTTATTGATTCATGTAGAGGGGGGAAAAGTTGAGGGAACTGTATTTTTCAGAGATTGGAGATATTGTCATTGTCTAAGGCCTACCTATAAGTATTTGGAATGTACAGTATTTGCATAGTAAAAGTCCATATTTTGTAGGTCTCTAGAGTAAATCACAGGAATTATTTTGGCAATAAGGGCAGGTGATAGCAACAATAGAAGTGCTTCCTCTTGTTTGGAACTGACAGGTGACTCCTCATAGCAGCAGAGCTTTTGTTTCACTGCATTCTTGCCTTACTCCAAAAGAGATAAGGCTGAAGCTATAAGCGTTACTCCTTCATCAAGCAGACATTTGCCAAGGGAAGCTAGCTGATGAACAGACACCTCAAAAGCTCAACAATTGATTTATTATATCTTTGAAAGCTGGGTTGGCTTTTCAGCATGCCATTCCACAGCACCTAAAGCATTCTTAGCAGTATAGAAAGAGTGCCTGAATCACCCATACTTCTCTCCTGCCAAGAGAACATAAAATCTGGAGAGCAAAAAGTGCTGTTGACAGAATTGAAAAGAGGTAGTTCTGATGACTGAGTGACAGAATCAAGAATCAGAGTAGATTACTTGGTTGCAGAAGAATCTATGTATATTACAAGCCCTTTCTCTTCTTGTCCGGGAATTAAATTTATTCCCTTTCAGCTGAGCAAGCTGCCCAAGAAGTAAAAAGTTTAATAACCTGTCCTCCAGCTCTGATACGTACTAATCTGTGTGGTAAGATTAGTTGCCTTTTTTTCAGCCATTCATTTTCTATATGAAACAACTCTTTGTCAATGATACATGTATGTGTTTTTACGCCTTTCTACAGTACCAAGCAATGGGTGGAAGATACTCGGTACTATGCTGTAAGAGCAATGTGCTAGAATATTGAGTCCCTAACCAGTTTTAGAAAGGTATTTTGGTGTGTAGGGTGCACTACTCCCCTTTATCTGAGTCTCTTGGGATTACTTTGTCATTTACTGCCATTTACTTATTTTGCTGTTGCAGAGGTTCAGCCATCCTCTTGAGCAGAGGCAGCTGGTGATATTAAGACATATTTGCTCCAATTTGTTATGCCTTTCTTGTTTGCTGTTGGCACCACTGCATACCCGTTCTGCCAACATTATTTCATAAAACTTTAAGCAGAATGCAGTCAGCATTATATCTTTAATTCCAAAGCATTAGGAGTTATGTTTAAATACTCTTTTTTTTTTTTTTTTTTTTTTTGTGCCAAAATACATATTCTAAAAATGTATTGGTATGTTGGAAGAAATTTGGGATGACAGTCTGAAAGTGTGGGGAAAGACAAATAAAAACAATTATCAAGACTGATGCATAGAGCTGTAATGAGGAGAAATAGAAGAGCTCTGGCTAAACATTAATGAAATCTGAGTAGGCAGGATCTCAGAATATATCTCACAAAATCCCAAGGGAAGTTACTGAAAGTTTGGCAGTGCATTCCTTTAAAATGTCACTAGAAAAGTGACTAGAAATTATATAATAGAGGATAAACCTCTACTAAGCCTCAAGCTAAGTAGACACTCTTAACAGAGTAAGGCATTAAATGTGAATTTTCCAAATTCATAGGACTGTGTCTTCTTGTCATTTCTAATTCTCAGAACAGTAAAGGTATATTTTTACAATGATCTTCACTGTCCTTATCTGCTGAAGAAACCCAGTAAGAGTATATCCATTCCAGGATTCATATTTCCTTCCTTGAGGACAATATGGCTATTCCCAAGAACACCAGAACTCTCAAATTCTTTCTATCACTCTCAAAGTGGTAGAAAGAAGGGTGATGAAGATGATCAAAGATATGGAATAGCATCTTTTTGAAAATAAACAGAGTCTAAAACTTGAGAAAGCTAACTGAGATTGTGACTGAAAGCTATAAAGTCATGAATAGCATGGAAAAGGTGAATAAATGATTATTCATGTTTTTTCTGATAGAAAACTGTAACGGACATCAAGTGATATTATCAGGAGAGACACTCAAAGCAAATCAAATAGGTAGTTGTACATGCACTTAAATTGAAATTCCTTACAAAAGGATATTTGGATTCTGAAACTGGACCCGGGTTAAAAAACTGACTGGATAAAATCATGCAAGAAAAAAATCCCTCAAGAGCTATGGGACACACAGATAATCCCTCTCCCTCCAAAAGTCTCTAGCACATGGATCATTGCTAGCTGGGAAAATACACTAGGAAAATAAAGTGACATGCTAGCCCTGCTCTGAGCTTTGTCCTAATCATCTGCTATCAACCATTGCCAGAGAAGAGATTCTGAGGTAGCTGGATCTTGGATTGCCTCAGTATGGCCACTATTTTGTTTTGTATAATATGCTTAATTTTGATGTTTTCAGATTCTTACCTATGATTTGCATTGTTATTGCAACTTTATCAGTCATGTTTTCTATCTGAAGAGTGACTTCATATGCTCCTGAGTGATGAAGCTCTGCCTTTCTGATGAAAAGGATTGTGTCCGTGTTGCTGTTCCGTATTCCCACATCTTTGGAGTCTAGAGTTTGACCATCCTTCATCCAAACAATTTTGGGTCTTGGTTTACCCTGAAGAGAAAAAAAAAAGGATTTTTATTTCTTTTTTTAGGCTGTAATAGATTTCCATTTTTCATTTTTCCATTTTTTTAGTGATCTATAAGTCTGGAAAGCCTAATTTAATATGCAGAGTTGAGATAGTAAACCCTCTAAATACTTTCCAATTTCTGTTTTCTTGCAGGCAAATATTTGCTCCCATCTGTGTGGTTTAGTGGCACCATGCCCTGAGGATGCCATTTAGTTATAGTTAGAGACTGAAAATATATTGAGAACAATTCCAGAAAAAATATAATTGTGCTGCTCTAGCACGCTTTCCCAGGCATCCGTGAAGCCAACAGTTGATCTGGCTTGCTCTGATTATTATTAAGTAACAGAAGTCTTTAATATCTGAGGACCTTATTAGCTTTTTTCCCTTCTCCTCCCTTTCTTAAAATATTTGATTCTCTATCTCCAGGCATTTTTAAGATCTTTCAAAAAATTGTTATAATCTTGATGTCTTGGTATGCAAAACTTACTGTATAATTCTTTCTGCATTGCAAAAGTTGTTTTGGTGACTGTGAACTTAATCAGTCACAGTGTTGCTACACCGATGGAAGATGATGTTGTGGAATCAGTAAGATATCTGTGGTTTACATCACTGTCAACCATTTCCAGGAAAACTGGTACATAATATTTAGTTCTTCAAAAGTTGTCTGAGGGCCATATCATATTTATTAACTGTATTTATGGTCAATCTAGCAGAAAATAACTTGGTAGGGTTTCTTTTTTTAAGTTTCTGCCAGATTAACATGGTGAAACAGTGCAGCACAGTGCTAGATGAATGCCAGGAATAGCTCAAATAGGTGGGGAGGGAAAGTGAGACCATCCAAGCCAGCAGTCAGCTCTACTTAGGCTGCCTTGGAAGTGAAGTCTAAGGCACTGAAATTAGGACACATACTGTCCTCCGCCCCTAGTAAACAGCAGAGAAAGCACCTCTAGAAGGCTCTTTAATTCACTGGGTCTGGAAAATGCTTTGTAAGACTACGTCTTTTTCCTTAGGCTACAGAGGGAGATTAGGATACTCAGACTCTTGGTTTAGGTGTCTAAAGGTAGGCAGAATAAAAATGAATCTTTGCACTTTGCTGCACCTCTGTGTCAGGTTTTTCTGGTACTTGATCAGGAAGTCTGTGCGGCATCATTTTATTTTTCTTTGGTAGTAGAAAAAAAACTTATTCTGTAACAGTCAGGCCAAAATCCGTCCAAAACAACACTTAAAGGACTTCTAAAACACCTAGACATTGCTATTCTTTAATAAATGCTTTTTTCTCTGGCATCTAAATCATCAGATGTATTGTAATGGATTTTTACATGGGGGCTGATAATAAACCTTGAATGAGCAATGGTTTTGGATTATTCATTTTCCCTACCTTGTAACTGAATTTCTTACTGCTTTCTGCCAAGGACTATAATCACCTCAGGCCTGTAGCTTTGAAATAGCAGACACAAGATTAATTTGTCCAGTTCTAGGGTACCTTCACCCTGGTCTCATTTCACAGAACCCTTACAAAAACCTATCAGAGGAAGACATGGCTTTCTTCCTTCAGCTGGAAGGTATAGTAGAGATTATTGAATAAGTAAAAGGATGTGGTGGTGGTGGGTTTTCCATATCCATGTCTGATAATTGAACTTGACTTGACTAGAATTGACTCTATTTTACTTTCTACATACATGTATGTTTTAACATGATATGAGGATTCTGCTTGAAAAATTTGGCTAGGGGAATGCTTTCAAAATAAAACTAATCTACTTAAAATAGTATAGTTATATGGAAACTTTATTTAAATTTCTAATTTGTCAAGACTAATACTTGGCTACGTTTTCAGACTGATTACAAGATTTAGTAGATCTGGATGGATTGATGAACGAGGTGAATTGAGGATCTGGCCCTGAATATCTTGGCAAAAATGGGCATGAGAAACCATAGCATTATCTTTATCATAAGAAACGTCTTGACTATGAATCAAGCTTTGCTACTGCTGGTGTTCTAGTGTGGTTGATCAGATATATTCACTCACAACACCTTCTTTTTTGAGGTGCTATGAGTGCCAGTGAAAGACTGCAAGCGTTCAAAGTGTTGGTTTTCATATACTCTTACATTTATAGACTGTGAAAAGCATAAACAGATAGAAAGCATGTTCCTAATACATATCTCAGAGGATTGGGTTTCTGCAATGTGTAATAGGTAATCTGAGAGAGAACAGTGACTGGGTAAATAGCACACCAGAGAAACTTCAGGGAGTTTACTGCCAGGGAAGAACAAATTTAAATGCTTTTAGATGTTTATATTCACACATATACGATGGGCAAGAAGATGGCTCAATAATACTGTGATTTTTATCCACTAATAGCATATAATATCCCTTCAATCACGTGCCCATGTAGTTAATTTTGAAACAAGAAAGTATTGATTTCCTTCCTTTCAGCAGAATGTCCCACCTGCTTAATGCTCTCAATAGAAAAAGAGATAGTAATAATCTTGTTCTTTTTTGTACATTTTAATCTAAAGATTTGAAGAGATTTGCAAATAGTATTTAGCCCAGGATACCTTGACAAGGTATTTAATAGAATTTCAGTGTTAAATGACATAGTAGTGACCACAGAGGATGCTGTCACAGAAACTGTTAACAGCAGAGAACACTGACTTACTTACACTTTAGTTAGATAATATTCTGCCTGCTTGTGTTCCTTAGCTCAGGGTTCACAGTAATTCCAGTATTTATGTATTTTCTCCCATATCCTTTTTGTAATTTGAAGATTGCAATCATATCTAGAGCCCTTTTCTTCAATAGAAATGGTCAGTGATTTAAACTTTTTCAAAATAGAAAGTGAAATGTTCTTTTTGTTTTGCTTTTTTTGAAAGATCCCCAGTTTTGCATACTCTAAATAGCTTTTGCAGTATTAAGAATTGTAGCTATAGCTGCAATTCAACACTATTACAAATCAAACTCACTCAAAAATGCCTCTTGAATTAAAATCCTCTGGTTTTGTTCTCTAGCTAAAATTTGGTGTTGATGGATAGATATTAGGATATTTTGCTAGCCTTACCTTTTAGGAGAGAAGAATTTATACCAACACATGGTTTGTCTGTTAGTCAGCTCCTCAAATAACTTTTGAATCAGTTGGTTCATTTCAGCTAAATTTGGCAGTGCACTAGAAATCTCTAAGATTAGCTTAGTACAGTTTTGGAAAACTGATGTCAGGGTGAAATACCCAAACCTCACTTAGTGTTCCCACTGAGGAAAAGTTGAGGAAGACTTAGTCTTGATCCATTTTGTTTGGCAACAGCTGAATGATCAGGCATGATAAGTGAAGCTCTGGATTAGTTCCTACATGTACTTTCTCTAGCCTGGGGAACTGAGGACATGTCGGCTAGGACTACCTCAGGGAGTAGGGCAAAGAATTGGCAAATCTCTGGGAATATTGCAATGAAACTGCTCTAAGCAAAAGAGGTGGGTTGTTATGCTGGGAAGATGGTGATATAGGGGACATAAAATACAAATTTATAAAACGCCAAACTTTATCAGTTACTCTGCTTATGGGACAGCTTGTCAATTTTGTGCAAATTTTCTTCAACTCAGAAATCAAAGCAGCAAAAATACCTGTTTAATTTAATTTTTTCAAGACTTACATAATTCAAAAATATCATGTAAAGTCTTGCATTTTGCATGTGGCTAGACCTCAGTGAAGGGGCCATTTTAGCAATTTTGGAGATAAGAAACATGAAAGAAAAAAATAAGCATGTGATTATGTTGAAGTAGTGCAAGCACGCAATTCAAGGCAGTTACTCCATGTATTGGTTTGCAACTATTTACTGATTAGATATATCTTTGTGAAAAAGCAACTTTTCATGTAACCCAGTAACCACAGGGCAAAAGACATGTATACTTTATTTTAAATAGATTTTACTCTTATATAGATTCTGCCCCCCACTGCTGGTACTGCCCAAACAAAACAATATAGGTAATGTGTGCATGTATGTTTCCCTTGCTGAAAAAATGTTTTGCAGATCTCCAGCATCTTTTACGTGAGAATTTCAAAACTCTTCACCAATGACAGTGATTACATTTTCATAAATGTCAACACTGAACAGCAGAGAAATTTTAGTTTCTTCAAGTTATAAATGAGGACTAGATTAAATGATTTATCTATTAATATGGAGGATATATCTATCAGAGCCAGAATCTGCAATTTACAATTTCTTTTCCTGTGTCTCACTCAGAAAACCTTTTCCTTTCACACACTAATTCTCGTAGTGTATTGATATTATAGTCTTTCATCTGAAAAAATGCATGTGGTGTTTTACAAATAGTCTTTATAGCTGCTTATGCAGCTGTAGAAAATGCAATGACAGGATAACTCGTTAGGTCAGTCTGTGTGTATATTTTAGCAATTTTGTGCATGCCTTAGTAGCATGTGTAGTTATATGCATGCACTCCTGATAGTCCTTGGCATGCTGTGGTTTTTATACCCTTGAGCCCATGTGCAGTGAGCTATTCTTTGTATATACACATATTCTAAATATGGCCAATTGTGGTATTCTGTTTATGTACAAACTATAATTTTTGTAGTCAGCCTTAGAGAAATAAACATATGCACTTTTGGCAAAGAAGTTGCTCAGTAAGATTGTGTTTCTTGGCTCCGGAAGAGTAGCTGGTTGAATTCTTACACTTTTGTGTACTTCTCTTTTTAAGAGGCATCCTATGGTCAATAAGCAAGAACGGCCTTGCCTTACTTTTTCTTCTTCTCCATAGGGAGGGATTATGGAAAAACTGTGAGTGTAAAAAAATTGTTACTGAAAGAAGAGTGATTTTTTTTTTTCTTTTTTTTCCCTTTCTTTAAGGTTTGGGAGGGTTTTTTTAAATCATCAGCTATACTTTATGTAATATTGCTTAAGCAATGGGAACTTGCATAAGGGAAACTACTTTAGGTAAGTAATGATAAAAAAACCACAACAAAATAGAAACTGATACATACCTGAAAAGGGATCACGATATTGATTGTCTCACCCACTTTTTTCACTAGGGTCTGTCTGAGATGGCGTGGCAACCAGATTTTGGGACGCTCTGCAGTTAAGCATTAGTACATTAAATACAAAGCTTTTGATAATTTGAAATATTATTTATAGCTCAAATAAGACAAAACACCAAAAAGGAGAGGCTTGGATACTGGTAAGCATAAGAAAATTGTGCAAACACTGTTTATATAGTTAGGGAGTAGTTAATTCTTTAAGTACTTTCAAATGTATTTGACTACTGGATACAAATTTAGTAGCAGATCTCAGTTATATATTTACAACTGAGCAGGTTTCAATGCCATCTGGATTTGTGAAACTGTTTCATCTGAAGCACCAGATTTGGGTGACTTCTGCTGGATTTGAGCCTCCTATGTGGACTTTGTTTCTTTGGAGGACTTTATCAATTCAGTAGAAGAGATGGGACAAAGGGTGTATTGCAATAAAAGAATGATTATGATTAAGCTATTTATACTGCAGTTCCTTCTAAATTGCCATTTGGAGATATTTATGGACTTATTCAGAAAGCAGAGCAATCAATGGATTTCCTTTACCTTTTCTACAGTCATTCAGTTATAGTTCTTTGAGGTGAAAGGAGTGGAGCCTCATTGTAGCAGCTTACTCTTCACTAACAAAAAGAGGACCTTATTCGTTTCCTAGTAATTTACTAAAAGAATTTCTTAACAAACAGTTGGAGTATCTGTCCTCATTCGGTTTTGAGATGCATTAGAACTTTGTTTCATTTACACCGAGTTATTTTACTGTCAGTGAGACTCTGGCAGACGCTTTGTGTGAGTCAAGGTTGAGGAATCGACTATTAGCAGCTCTTGATATTTTTTGGACTCCAGTCAAATGAATTATAATCTACTGTTGTTGGGTGATATACAGGGTGTTAATAACCTAGGACAATGAAGAACAGATAACTCCTTTTTATTTAAATAGATCTCTTACCATAGCCAATGCAGTCATTTTGCAGTAATATAACAGCTTTTCCAGCAGAGAGTTAAATATTTAAAAATGTGTCTCTTGAATGCTGACAGTGCCATTACAAGAGGTGAAATGTCCGTATTTTGAAAGTAAGAAGTAGGATTTTGTTTCAAGAGCTATGCTTCAGAAATATAAGACCTGGACAGTACAGTAATGTTCTCAGAATCAGAAGATACTGGGTGCCTAGTCAAAGTGAAAGAGCTGTTTGGGTGTTATTCTCAGAAGGTGGCACCGGCTTGTCAGTCCCAGAGTTTTTCTGCATGTGTACATGTTTAGAATTTTAACCAGAGGAAATAGATTAGTAAGATTTATTCAGTCTAGACACTCACGCAGGATCTCTTGAACAGTAACGGGCTCTTTGATTATTGCTGCTCCACTCTCACCAGCCAAGTTTATAGCCTTTATACGGAAATGAAGTTTGTCCCCTGTAACCAAGTCTTTAATTAGTGCAGATGTGCGCTCAGTGAGACCAGGAAGGGCTGGAATCCATTCTGTAGCTGCAAGTACAGGATTTGCATATTGTAATAATATATTATTTTTCCAGACTGATACCTTTTCTATAATTGAAAGTAAATTTGTGTTTGTTAGGGTAAAATGAATTTAACATGCAACACCACACTTAGGAGGGAGTAAACTAAGCTGGTAAAAGAACTCTGGATCTAGAAGGTATGTTTACACATGTATGCACTTTGTTTATTCAAAACAGCTAAGGGTAAGGGAATAATTTTTGGGTAGTTCCTTTGGCATTCTATTTTATAAAGCTTAGAGCTGTGGAGCTTCTCTATATTTATTTTCATTAGCAAAAGAAGGGGGAGAGAATTTTGGAAGTATTTTTAGCAAGAAAGTGAAGCCTTAATTTAATTTTTTCTTGGAATATTTCCTGTGGGTGTCCAAACAGATTGGTGAGAGCCACATATGCTGAACACAATAATAGAACACATAACTGTTGGAATTTATTATTAACTTCTCAGTTGACACTGTAGAACAGAGTTCTTAGGGCTTCCTTTGTTATTCTAATAACACAGAAGTACGATTGATAAAATCATTCTTCTATGATGATGACATATGGGTTCTGGTAATTTCATCATGATATCTCATTAAAGGCTATAAATTATTTCTGGATAAATTATACCCTGTAAAAGACATAGTTTAAGTTATATGGCAGTTGAGCTTAGTGTCAGAGAAAATTTTGTGATTGAAGTGATTATAAATTTGTTTGATTTTTATGACATAAATGTTATGTTGTAGCATCACAGTAAATTGCATGTTGTAGATATGGTGCAGTTATACTCTATTATCAGACCAGAAGTAGTAAAGGAGATAAAGTAACAGTTTCTTGAAAGTTGGACTGATGTTGTTACAGTCATGTTATTATATTGGTTTTAAGGAATACACAATTTGTGAATGGTACAAAAGCATAGTAGCAATAATAGAACAGCACTGGTATTGTTGTAGTACTTTTCTGTATTAAAGTTTATGATGATTATGAAGATGATGTTATGGTTGATGTGGCTTTCATGGTTTTACAGTTAAGGCATGGTAAGTCTGGTGATGGTTGGCAAGGATGTTAGTCATAGATTAGAATGCTACTGAATATGGTTAATTTATTGGGATATTGCAGTGAAGCCATTGCAATTGTAGTGTTTTAATAATGTTCAGTTGCTGCTGCCTAGTACTCGTGCTTACTTACATCCATCTTTGCAGTATTCCACAATATAACCATCTAATCCCCCAGCTCCAATCCGCTCAGGGGGTCTCCACTTCAAGGCAACAGTGCTGTCAGAAACATCTTCCACTGTAAAGTGGGTTGGTTCACTTGGAGGAGCTAAAAGGAAACATGTAGAAGTAAATTCTGAGAAACAGCAATACAACAGTGAGAATTCAAAAGCTATAGAAGGAGTAATTAGCAGCTGAATTATATACCACTATCTGTTTTAATAAAATGAAGCTCAGTTGTAAAATGTAACACCTAAAACTTCATTTATAGAAGTGCAGCATAAGATTCCTCTAACAGGGAGGGGAAGAAGAGGTTAAGATAGTAGTTCTTATTCATATCTCCTCCCTTATGAGTAAAAGCCAATGAAAAAAGAAGAGTTGTAGAAGGGAGTCAAATTGTCAGCAGAAATCTGCAGAAAAGTTTAGAAAGAAAAATGCATACAATTAGTATGCTGTACTTAACACCCTGGTTATAATTAGACAAAGTTCACATAAGCAGAGAACCAAATTCATTAGTGACTAAATTTGAGTTCACTCATTTTCCTCTAACAGTGGAGAAAATGACCAAAAGTTATGACTACATGTTTACAGAAACACTACTTCTGATTTGTGCATTTGTAATAGGCTAGCATGAGAAAAATACTTTTGGGCTGAAAATTTTTCACTTTAGTTACATATAGCTATTTCATTTCTTTTCAGAACAGGAGTGTCATGGCTTTTTCAAAATCCATAGTTCAGAAAGACCACTAGCTAAATTCAGTCTTTTTAAGCATGACTATTGTCTACTAATTAAAAAAACAATCAAGAAAAGACCTTACTGGAGAATCCCAAATACACAGAAATGTTACTGTGAAATCATTGATTCCAAAAAGCAAACAGAAAAATAAATTTTTCAAAATAACATTTAGAGTGCTGGAACATAAAATTTAGTATACATGGCATAAAAGCAATCATGTTAAAGAAATGTATGTTTAGCATACTCCATGTATATGTGTTATAAACTGAACATCTTTTGAATATACATAACGGATTTTACATATTAGAAATATTTAATATTTAAAGTAAGTTAAATACAGGTTTATAAATTGTGCAACTGATTGAACTTGATCTTAGTTCCCAAAGTTAATGTAAAAAAAATTTTAAAAAATAATATCACCCAGTTTCCTTTCTGTAGCTGTGTCAAAATTTTCCATATTCAAATAGCAGCAAGGACTGTGAATAGTATACAGGATGCAAAGGCAGTTGGGAGCATACACAACCACACAGTACACGATCAAAACCCCAAACCTCTTCTCTGAAGCAGGAAGTGTGAACTTTATCCTTAATCAAATAAAACTCTGCCTATCCCATGAAAACTTTGGACCTTTTTTTTCAGTAGCTCCGCTTGATGGTTTTCTTTTGCCCTCTTCTGTTGCAGACCAGCCATTGTGTGTTTGAAATCCAGAATTAAGAGATACTTCTTGCAGTTCATCCTTTCCTTTTGACCCCTTCACTGCATCATCTGCTTTTATGCTATCCCCTTCAGCAGGCTGTCCCCCTTTGCTGATATTTGTAGATTTAGGAACTCTAGTCATTTTAATCTCCAGCTATTTGTATTTTTGTGGGTCTTCTTTCTAAAGCTTTTAGCAGGCAGGTTTCCTGAGGACTCTTTGCTCAGGGACTGCAGGAGACACTGCACTTCTGTGTTGGGAAGGATTATTTATAGAAAATCATTCCTCAAATATTTTCTTAATCAGCTATCCTTTTAGCTGTGGACAGGGCCAGGATTAAGGGAGTACTGGATACTGTGATATTTGCACCCATAAAGGAATGGGAGAAGCTGAGAGGGACAGGGAAATTTCTGTCAATTAGTTTTCCTCCTTTCCAGGTCCAGCTTGACTCTCACACTTCTAATTATAACAGCTAAAAATTCATCAGCAATTTTGTGAAACTAGAACCTCTGTGCTTCTCAGGAAGGGGAACGAGAGACAGAGAAGAGGAAAATTACAAAGGAAAAGGTTGATAACCTCTTTCCTAACACATTCTTTTTAGGTATAAGGGCACTTGAAGAGAAGACATGAAAATTGTCCTGTCTTGGTTTTGTCCTAGAAATAATATAAAGTGTGGTAAAACTCACCAATTGGCATGAAGGGTTGTGAGGCAGGGCTTGGCCGGGACATGCCAATAGAATTCACAGCATAAATCCGCATCTCATAAACTACTCCTTCAATCATTCGCTTGGCTTCATAGGTTAGGTCTTTTAAAAGGTCAAAGTTCAGTCGCATCCATCGATAGCTTTTCTTCTTCTTTCTCTCTAAGATATAGCCTGGAAAGGATAGCTTTTATGACGTAAAAGAACTGCAAATTATTCTCTCACATTCAGGAAAAAAGAAAATCACCTTTTTTTTTTTTTTTTTCCTGTTCAATGGCATAAAAGAGTCAAATATGATTCAGAATCACAATCACATATAACTGAATTGTGTGAAGCTTTGGTATTTTCCTGCAGTTTCCTTTTGTATTACTTTCTATCTGACATTCTTACCGAACAATTATGCTTTTCAGAGTAGAAGTTATTTAGATTTAACTATGTGTGGTATTAGGCTTTAAGCACATTTTGCATGCTATACACTGCTCTTAAGTATGCAAAATAGAGATACTAGCAGAGCTGGTTTAAATGGTAAATCCTTTCTGGTGAGAATGCAGTCATTCACTCCTAATGGCAGAGCAATGCATGAAACACAGCAGTTTAACAGAAAGCCCTTTCAGTGAAGGAGAAATTGAACTGTGTAAGATGAAACATAGAGTTAAAAATTTTTTTTTTCTTGTATTCTGCTGCTATTCACTGATCTTGACTAACAGCATAAATGCCAAAGCAAAATATAAGTTGGAAGAACAGTTTGACTCTTCTTTTTCTTTTTTTTAAACTAAAAATTATTTATCAAAGTTCTTATGTTAGATCTCTGCGTCCATTGCTAAGTGATGGAATTGCAGAGTGCTTCCCAGACAGTGCAGATCCCAGCTCTGCTTCAGCCCTATAGTGGAGTAAGTCCTGGCCACACACCATTTTTCTTGCCAACTCCCTTGGGAAGGAAAGTGTATGACTACAGACAACCAAGAGAGCTGGATGCACTGCAAACTAAATATTTAGTATAGCCTAGGTGTAGTCTGTATGCCCAGAATCCAGGTCTTTAGTACGTCTCCCTTGCCCCCTCAACAACCACGGCCTTTCCCACACTACCATGCTGTTTTTCAGGATGACTAAGTCAGGCTGGGTTATCAGTTTAAAAGATAAACTTCTAATTTCCCAAAACTGGGAATGGAATCTGTGATTCTTGATCCTTAATATGGAGGATGGTTGTGTATCACATTGGAAATGTTTGTATGAATTATTTTCCAGTGACCTGCTACAAAGGAGTTATCAAATGTTTCTTTCCATCCAGCTATATTAAATTTCTGCTGCTTTTCTGTGTTGCAGATTGTATGCCTGGATGTGATGCCTGTAGATTTCTTTTAAACAGATTTTGGGCTTTAAAGCTATTCATCGTTTAACTATGGAGTGAATAACCAGAAAATACACTGAATGGTGATTTACACATACCATGTATTTCTATGTATTGTATGTTTCTACCCATAGTCTACAGAGGATATGTCTGTAACAGTGGTCAGCTACAATAGTGTAAGTCTATAGCAAACGCATTGTAAAGACTTATGAATTGAGCTGTGTAAACAGTGATTCAATCCCTGCTGCTCACAAAGGTCATGGCTATCAAACTTGCAGATGTCCATTTGCTATACGTGGGAAGTATGATTCACAGTTACAGCATCTAAAGGGAAATGGAGTATGACAGACGCGTTTGCTGACACGTTCTGTGCACAGACATCATGCATCAGCAGCTTTCCTGTCTGTGTTGAATGGCAAGAAGAGCATGGGAGCCTACAGAATGTTTTGGGAAATGAGTGGTGAAAGTACCTTTGAGTTGACAGGTTGTATCATCACTTCTAATATATAAAGTTACCCCTGACATGCTTGTTTTCAGTGGCTTTTAAACAGGGTTAAATGCTGTAAGCAAAGAACCTATGGTTCCTTTGACATGTTCCTGCTTTTTCCTCTCTTCTTCAGGGTCTGTGAGACTGAGAGAAGTTTCAGCAACTCAGTTTCTGGTTTTCTGCCATTTTAGATATGCATAGTTTCCTGTCAGAACTGACACTTCTTCACTGTGGCATACCAGAATTGCAATTTAAAAAAAAAAAAAGTCAAAAGGAGGTAAAAAGACAATACTTTGGTAACATTTGGTAAAGCAGATTATTTCCCCAAATGCACAGAATGTATGATAAAGATACTCTTTAGTAATATAAAAAGTACATGAGATCCCATGAAAGGTTTGCGTAACAGTGAAGACGAGGTGTGAATTTCTTTTCTATATCTGTTGGATATAGGTAATAGAGACTATAGCAGACTGCTTACAATGCCACCTTTAACAATATGAAGACAGGATGCTTATGTCTTCCCCTCCTGCTTTTTTAACTTGCTTTTAAAGCTTTGTTTGAATGGATAGTGCTCCATCTTGGCTTCCCTCCCCCCCACCCTCACTGCCTGCTCCAGCGTTTTATTCCAGCCCTATTAGTAGTAGAGTCCTGTGCTAACTGAAGAAACCTCCTCATGTAGTGCAAAGGGTTGTTAGTGAAACATTAACAAAATCATTCCTTTGACAGTGAAAACAAACCAAAGAACTTTCCAAAATATGTGTCCTGAAAACTCTACAAAACGAAATCAGGGGCTTTGCATAGTCAAGGTGTGTAAGTGTGGGCATGTTTGGCTGTGGTAACGGGATGCCTATTGGTATATATCTTTGCACATAATAGTTTAAATTGTTAACTTCTTGCTTCCTGTCAGAACAGATGAAACCACAAAGGGCTGGCCCAGTAGTATCTTGTTTATTCCTGCACAGATAACTTGTGTTGAATTACATGAGGTTAGTCTGTTCCTGTAGAAGTGAATGAAGTCCAAATATCCAAAAGCAATTACAAACTCCTCTCTTCCAGATATTATGCAGGGGGTTAAAAGAATTTTAGAACATTTCTATCCCTGGCATCCCCATAAGAGTCCATATAGCTTTCAGTGTATTTTTTTTTTAAAAGAAATTCAAATTCTGGTGATCTTTACCAACCAAATTGCTAGATTTGGAGTTCAGAGGAATTTTCCCCTAGAGTTGGCCAATATCCTGTATTATTTTGTTTTCCCTCTGAGGATCACAGTGAGTTTTATCTAAAAACACCATGCTCTGCAGAGAACTTAAAATGGCATTGGTGGTATTCTTGATTTCTTCTGCTCCTTACCTGTATCGCATGATAACTTTGGTCTCTAGTTTTAAGTACAGATTTTAAGGTCATTAAAATGATTGAAGAGTATTTTGTGACCCATCATGTATGTTTGTATATGAAGTAGAATTATGAAGTAGATTTCTAAAAGAAACGTGTTGCCTGAGCGCTTGACATTGCAGATGACTGGAGTTGATGACTGAGGTGGCCACAAATGCGTTTTGGTATTCCTAGGTAAGTCCAAAGGCCTGTATACTAACCTAAAATTTCAGTCTTGAATAAGAATGTTTAGCTTTAACTATTTTTGGTATCACCTTGTGCTTTGGCAACTTATTCCGTGAAATATTTCTCCTCTTCACATAGCACAGGTAGAGGGCACTCTCTCCCTAAAATTGAAGGGCCAGAATCTAGACCAGTTTGAAGGCTTGCTATATTAGAGTAGTTAGTTTCTGAGGGTCGGCCTTCCTGGGGCAAATAAACATAGAGAGTCCTTCTGTGCCATTTTAAAGGAGCAGCAAAAATACAGGCAAGGCTGCTGGGGACTTTATGTTTTAGCACTTCTTACCAAGTACTGGTTGCCCACCATCGTATTTAGGAGGTTGCCACTGCACAGTACAGTAATCTTCTCCAATGTTGCTGATCTTGGGAGCTTCTGGAGGGTCAGGAACATCTGAAGAAAGTGTGAGAATGAATGAGAGTTGTTACTGTTTTGACTTCTGTATAAAAGTCAATGAAATATTTTTCTTTAATTTTTTTCCCCATATCATATTGATACAGCTTTGTCAGATAGCAACAGCAGGTACAGTCAAGAATTTATTGTATTAGCCTAGAGTGAATCCTGCTCTTTGATGCTTCTGTGTTAGGTTGGTTTTCCTTTAAATACCATTTGATTATTCAGCTCCCTTGCTCTTCCCAGATATAATCAACTTTTTGCAAAAATGTAAGGTTACAAGGTTCTGTTCTGTAAGAAGAGGCTTGCCTCAGGGTTTCCTATTTTCTCTATAATAAAGTTTGTTTACAATATAATGGCTGCATGCTTCTCATATTTTGTTATTTTGGAGATATTCATAGTAAATATCCTGACTTAGGATTTATAAAAGGTGAAAAGGGACTTAGTGTTCACCTAAGCAGTGAATTCTAAATTTTAGTACTGTAGGTGAACATATTTTTCTTTTATCATTCCTAAGTTCGCTTAAAACCTGGCCTTTTGTCATGTGTGTGGCAGGGTATAAACAAGTTAAATATTATGAAAAAAATTATAAAAGTTACTGACTCAAAATTATATTCCCCACAGCTCTTCTGTGACTCACAGTGGCAATCTGTATATCTTGATATAAAATACATTATGTCTCTTTATTTCATTAACTGTTTACTGCTTATAGAACAATATAATCTTTGCTTAAGAACATAAACCACGACAAAATGGTTGGTTTTTCTTGTCTCAGACAAGCATGAAGCATATACTTCAGAAGGAATTGTCATCTGTAAAATGAGAGGATCACCTGAAACTGGAACTATATAAAAAGGAAATGCATTAATTTCTACTGGGAGTTATTCTCTACCTTTTCACACAGAAGGCAACTACCTCTGAAAAATATTTCTGCCAAATTTTGTGATTGATAGTATTTCCTACCTTTTTGATCCTTTTCTGTTTTTCTAAACCTAAAGTCAGAACGTGCCTCAGTTTTAGAGAAGGGTGAGTTTCGGTGAACTCGAGATGCTTTCATGCTCTGGTTATTTCCTTCCTTCACTTACCAATAACTTTGACTGTGATATCAGCCTTATCTTCTCCCACTGGATTCTTAACTGTAACTCTGTATACTCCCTCATCCTCCTTTTCTGCTCCTTCAATGATGAAGACACAGTGGTCTTCGTGCATCTCCACACGAACTCTGCCTTCAGATTCAAACAGCAGCTGTGGGCATTGAAAGTAACAGATAAAGTCATTGCAAGTTGTGCCAGGGACAGCCTGATGAGCCTGTATGTAACCTGGTGAAAATCTTCAAATCATTGAATATTATCAAAATTATTGAAAGGCTATAAAGTTTTTAAAGATCTATTTGTACATAGAAGAGAGAAAACATAGACTAAGTGTCTCACATAAATAACATTTGGGAAAATTGGTTCTGAAAGTCTGCAGGTTGTTAAAATTTATTGCTAGTTACACATACACAGTTACATTTCGAAGAAGTTACTTCTACAAAATCCTACTTGGGATAGCTGCTAGGATCAATATAAAAAGGTTCAGGGATAACAGTGTGGTACAGTGCAAATTCAAGAAGATTTGCAAATTCAAATTCAAATGGTTGAGCAAACATTCCTGATCAACAGTATCTACACTTGGCATCAGATAACATGGATTTGAACAATTTTCCTCTAAAAAATTTACTGTGTTTCTTGTAACTGTTAATGGCATCAATGTGATTTCTGTCACACAAGAATATCATAGGGGGTAACTTTCTACTCTTCCCTGAGCTGAGGTCTAAACATGATGACCACAACCTTGCTGTGCACTTGTAACACACTCCTTTCTTCTGTATGTGCCCACCTATCTCTAGAGTTAGAACAGGGACCATTAGAAAGCATATGTGTCTGAATAGTCACTATTAGAATCACTAGCAGAATCCTAACCCTAAGAAAGGTTGCATAATAAATGTAAAACATTTTCTGACTATCAAAGTAAAAAAGTTATTTATGACAAAAAGGAAAATTGTTGGAAAATGAATCCTCTTTCACTGTTTTGTACATACATAGTCCACTCTCTTGACCCATTGTCATCTTTCCCCTGTGTCCTGTAAGATTTTGTCTTCTTTTTTTTCCCTCTAGCTGTTATTGAAGCTTCAGGTTAGTGGGGATTAAAAGGGATAAACATTCACAAATATATCAAAAAGAGTTTTCAAATAACTGCTTTGGTTCCTTGTAATCCAGCTACTACGTGATGGTGATTAGAAAGAGATTTCCTCAATCAGCATCTTACTCTAAAATTACTCACCACATCTCTTGTGCCCATTTGAAGTTTGGTAATCACCATTGTGAGGCAGGATGTTGGGCCTGATGTGCTATTTGCTTCACCAGTTCAATGTCTACTGACTTTAATTTTATTTCCTTCTGGATAGGACCTTTTATCTGGAAAACACTAAATGTATTTGTGTGTCTGCATAAATAATGAGGAACTTACCTTACTATCAGTATTTAAATCACTGCTGTTTTCTGAGGCAGTCATGGAATCATCATTGCTTCGAACAAGGTCGCTTTTCTAGATAAGCAAAGAAACCACAGAAAGTCAGCTAAGTCTCTTTGAGCACAGCAGTAAAGCTGTTTCTGCAAGACAGAGGTGAAGACTCCGTATGTTTGTAAGAGGGCTTGATGAGAAAAGCGAAGAGCAAAGTGAGGCAGCAAGTAGACCTTGGAAGGAAATCAACTGATACAAAAGTAAAAAGCAGAAATGGAAATAGAGGTATCAGGCTGCAGTGAATTAACGGAAAGATAAGTCAGCAAAACTAAATTTACAGCTTAACAAAGATGCATGACATTCCTGCAGTAGAATTGTATCTGGTTGTGAATCTGTCTGTGTCCTGTGGTATTAGCTACTCATCTTGTGTAACTGCACAAATAAGGATTACTTCTTTCTGTAACAATGGGATAGTAAGTTGATGTAAACGTTTTAACACTCAGAAATATAGTCAGGTCTGTAACACACATCAAACAACATATTTTGAAGCTGTGCTACTGTTCGTTTAGGATTTCATTAGTAACTATATGCTATACACCCTTCAAATCAAGACTGGCTTCTTTTACTCGCATATTGAGACCTCACATCTTAGAAATAACACTGTATAGGGGTTGTCTGATACCCGATCATAATTTTTTCAGAGAAACGTTTATAAGAGAGTCACTTTCTTTTGGGAACCAAGATAGAGACAAACTGTTTTTTGTTTGTTTCCATACTAATTCTGCATTGCAGTAAAAAGTCCCAAGTGTTACTAAATACGCTAACCTGAACAAAGAATGAGGCAGAATCATAAAGAAATGAGATTGGGGAAATTAATATAATTGTCAATATTATTTTGTTGATATCTACACCTATGGGAAGTGTAATGATGCTGTAGAATGTTATGCAAAGTATTTCTGTGTTTTATGCTAGTTATAGCTCAAGAGCCCACAGATGGTGAGGGGCGGGATGTTCTCAGACAGCCAGAAAGGAAACTCACTTAACATTTTGTGTCTAGCTTCTAAATTCTTTCTTTAATGTTTTGTAATTGCTTTGTTAAGGCAAATAGCAAATGTACTCTATTTTCATTATAGCAAATACAGTTTTACCCCAGTGGTCTGCTAAGAAGACATATTATTCACAGACTGTAGATTTCTTGAGAAAGAGGAAAAAAAGAAGCTGCCATCTCCAGAACATGTCCATCCTATCAGGTGAAGGTCATGGGGATGACTGATCATTTAGTTCTTTTTCTCTGAGGTAGGAAGAGAATGTGCATGGTATCCTACTGTCTGCATGTACATATGTCTATTCCTATATACTCAGCCCCTTCTTTTGGAAAAGAAAAACAGACAATAGTTCAGAAAAACAACAGTTCAGGATGACTCTCACAAAAACAGCTAAATCCCAAACAGCTGCATTGCAGATGTGTTGTTTTTTTTTTTTCTTGAGGTTTTTAAAAGATAAAATTAAAAGGAAGATTAAAATACTTCTAACTAAGAATTGTAAATCAAAGTAAGATTTGAGAAAGAAAATACATTTCCTGTTGTGACCTCCTTGCCTCAGACACTGTGTCAGGTTACACATTACCTTGTTTACTTTCTGCCAGATGACAGTAGGTGTTGGATCTCCTGATATGGGAACATCCAGTCTCAATTTGTTCCCAGCCACCACGACAATAGTGTCAGGGGATTGGCCCAGACAGTCAAGGTGGATTTTGGGAGGCTCTATAGTAAAGGCAGAGAGAATAAGTTTTAAATATAGTTTGAGTGTTCTATATGGAGAAAAAAAAAAAAGGCGAATATTCATATATTAAAATAAAAATGAAAAAGCACTGCTTCTGTGCTGTTGAAAACATGTTTACTTGCATATAAGTAATGACTGCTGTTCTTACCTTCTCTTGGTACAAAATCAATCTTGACCTCTGAGGGAAAAAAAAAAGGAGGAAGGGGGTACGAGAAATAGATCAGAAAACAGAATTTACATAGCATCCGCACCCAAAAATTAATTTTAAAACTATTCATCATTGAAACCTCATAAGGCGTATACATCAACAGATTAATGCAATGAACTGGAAAACAGGCTCTGTAACACAATATGATAATGATAACACAAAATAACAGGGAAAAGCAATGTGCCTCTATGGAGGTATCAGGAAAGAGATTCTGCATACTTTCTACTGGTATAACCATGATTAGTACCATCATTTTATCCCTCTGGAATTCCCATTACATATTCTAACTTACCCAAAAACTGAAGCTTGGCAGAAAGGTTGTAAGCAAATCCCTGAGGGATGAAGGAATAATCAGCCTCGTCACCTGGTGTTACATCCTCAATAGTTAGCTTATGGATTCTGGAAACATGAACAAATATATTCCGCTCATTGACCTTACCTCTCCAGGAGAAACAGGCTATCTCAACAGACAAGGTGCAGGCTATAGGATATTAACAAGCATTGCTATTTCTTCTCCCCTTGCCCTAACATCAAGTCAACAACCACCAGGGTTGTAGACTGCTCTACTTTCAGTGTTCAAGCAAATCCATGTCAGCATGTTGTCTATTAATGGATTTTTCTTGTCAAGGTAGATGCATAGGCTAATCTGAATAGAGGACGCCGTTTCTGTGCTTTAGTCCAGTCCTTTACCATTACAAGGGCAGTTGTAACACTGCTGACTGGTTTCATTTGATCAGATTGTGACTACAATAAATTCTGGAAAAAACAAGTTAAAAATTGATGCTCCATCCCTGTATTATTGTAAAATTCAAAACAGAATACAGAAAGGGAGTACTAGGGAAGACTTTACCTAACATGTAATGCTTATGTATCTTCTGAATCTTCTTGCTCTCCATTTCCAGTAGTAGTTTGCTAAGAAACTTGAGCTCAGAATTGTGCAACTGCATGTGTTAATATAAACACTAGTTTTTCTGAAGGGGTTTATATATATAAGTGCTGTCTTAATCTGTCTAAACACTACTGCTAATTTTAAAGTTATCAACCATGTGTTTTCTAGATTGTTTGAATACCAAGAAAACATGAAATCCTAACGAAAACTGAGAATGAATTCTACTGATATACCACTGATGCCATGGATGCAAAATGTACCAACACAGAAAGACTGCATGCATACCAAAGCAAGTCTGTGACTATATGCTGACTGCATATGAGAATGTTTTAAACTTTTTTTCCTTTTAGCTGGAGCCAGGACAAAGTCTTGGTTTATATTTCTATCCCCCAAGATAATAGCTCCTGCGGTTTGTAATGCAATACCCAAGTCTGTACCTTGCTTTCTGACACAAGACTAACCTGCCAATATGGGAGATCTTTATCCTTTCATCTGGGACCACCTCCTTTCCATTTTTCAACCAGATTCCTTTCACATTTTCATCGGAAACTTCACACTTGAAGACTGCCTGGTCACGTGCCTTCACTGTCAGGTCTGCAATGCTCTGATAAACTTCCAGCTTTTTCTCTGATATTGTGGGAATAATCAATACACACATCAACAAATCGGAATAGATCTGTAAGTAAACAGTTGGTGTGGATTTGCTGAGTAGAAAAGGCTAGGATTGAGCAAGCTGTTTGTGGAAAGGTGAAATATGAAGAGAAATCCACAGCATGCAGGACTCATTAAGTCATCTTTTTCCCTGGCATGAGGATTATGCTACCCCTGTGCACTATCCTGGAGAAGGTTACCTTCAGGCCTGTTTCCATTTTTCAGCTTCCCTGGTTCTGTGATGTTATCTGTGCCTACCTTGTACAATCAGTTCAGCGACTGATACCCCGCCATTGGTCTTCACGGTGTAGTGTCCACTATCTTCCTTGGTTGACTCATTAATAATTAGATACTGTTTTTTTCCATCTTTCTTGAATCGGTACTTGAATGTTTCTTCCCGTGTCAGCTCAATTCCGTCCTTTTCCCTGCAATGCCAAATAGTGTTGAGTCATTTTTCTGTGGTCAGAAGAGGAGATTAACAGTCAGCTCAATGTTACTAGAGATTGGAAGACACAAGATAAACCCAACCTTTGTATCATTTCAAGTTAGCAAAAAAGAGACCATTGCACAAGTGTTAGTGGAAGCAGAACCAGAATGCTTCTAGCTTGACCATTAATTTTCACTACATATTTGATTTCTGGTTCATGATAGTTCACTCACAATGATTTACTTGGTTGTTACTATTTATATGTTACAGATAAAGATGAAAGTATGTTAAATGCTCTAGAAGATATAGGGATGAAGACACATTTCAGCAGGGAATTATTATCTTAAAAGATGCCATAAGGTAAATGGGACTTGCTGGGAAATGACTTCAAAGTCTTAATTTTCCTGTTGTGAATTATAATTGTTATAAAGTAATGGTTTTTGGACATCAGTAAAAGAAGAAAATTTTAGGATGGATTTAAATGAACGTGTATTTTGGATTTTGTAGCCCTTTCCATTCAAGGATGCACAGTATATTTAAGACATTACTAAATTAAGCTTCACCATCCAGCCTGGGAGGAAATTTAATTAATGTAATTTCCAGTCGTCATGAAAGGAAACAAGCAGAGAGGATTCATGCTGTTTAGTCAAGGTCACACAAAAATACATAAGGCGTTTTAAAGATTTCCTGTTCCTAATCCTAAATACTATAAACAGGCTACAAGAAAAACACTTGTAATTTCTTCAACTTCTTTTGTAGCATTTTATATTTTTCATTAGTATTTGAATATATTTATATTATGTTACTTGAATACTGCTGCAGTTTGTAAATGAAAAAGTTTTTCTCTTTGATACTTACTCATGTGGAAAAAGAAATGGAAAAGATTTTATGCTTTTAATAGAGTAAGAATTTTCTTTCTATATTGTGTTATTTCCCTTATTTGTTACCAGTAACTATTCAACTTAACAAATGACCTTACAGCATAGCAAATTGAAATGCTACTTAGGGACTTACTAAAATACTATAGATCTAATTTCTAGGTAGATGTATGCAAGAAAACCTTTTGCCTCTGTTAGAGTCTGCTGAAGTAAATCACAAGATCAAAACTTTAAGCGGAGACAGGCATCCTACAACTTGTGACTTGGATATACCTGCTGCAACTGCATTTCAAAATACATACAGGTTATTCCCTCCTAACTGTTCTTTACAGCACAGCTTATTGGAACTTCTAGTTGGTTTAGAAAAACATCGACCTCTCTTCCAGATCACAGGACTACACCACCAGTAAGGGAGGAAACCAAGGATGCCTATAACAACCACATGAAACACAGCCACTTGGTGTTATGTTAGGATAATGTTTCCTCTGCTTGTTGAGTGGCAAGAGTCTGAGGCCACATGCAAGATGCTCTCCCAAGGCTGATATTCTCATTCATGCAGATTAGTTCTGGAACAACTGCTACAATGCAATGCGTAAACCTTTGCTGAACC